GCTGGAGACCCAGCATCCTTCAGTTCCCCACCTTCTCTGGGCTATGTCAAAAAGAAGAATGACAAATTCCAAAGTAGCCAGTAAAGTCTCACAAACACCCTGCTTTCTAGAATCGAAAACACTCACTTTGCCTTCAGCGTCTCCTCCTGAAAATTCCAGCGGGGGTCTTCCACCTGCTGCAGCTCTCGGAGTACCCTCCCCGGCTTGTAGGCTGCGTTGATGATCATGCTTAGGACCTGTTCGGAAAAAACAAGCACGATGAGCTTCAGCTGCACTCATCCCACTGGAAGGAGAAGGCTTGACGACCACACAGCTGACACTTGGGAAGTGTTCACTGCACACACACTTGAGTTGGACAGGACGCCTGGCTAACGCTGAGCTAACTCACCATCCAGGGACACAGAGGGTGGTGGACTCGGATCCTCCGTCTAGGAGAGTGCAAACTGTTCCCCACAGAAGGTGGCAGATGTCATTGACAATTCTGGCTGCAGAGAAACTGAGGCATTTCCTCCAGGGAGCAATGCTATTATTTTCCAACAGTACAGCCTATCAGATTCTTAGGCTACTAAGAATCTCATTCTAGTTTTTAATTTTATTTTATAAGAAACTAATGAAACTGAGACAATGTTAATACCAACACTTCCGGAGAGATTTCAGGTACTGGTCGGAAGGGTAATAAACACTGAATACCAGGACAACTCTCTTAGAGAGGTGAGCATTTTACTTGATAGTCTGGAACATCTAACACCACCGAATATCTTGTCTCCTCAACCTGCCCCCTCAGTCCAAAGTCCAGGTCCAAGGAAATGAACACGAGGTCACTGCCTATTATTCCAAGAAAGAGCGGGCACTTCTGTTCTGAGAGTCCTGACTGTGGGCTCTGGGCAGGTAAGACGCTCTAGGTAAACCCAACGTCCTTCAATGAGAAAGACAAGGAACTTAGACCCCTGGGGTACTCACCTTTCTAAAAGCAAATCATTCTCTACTAACATTTATGGGGTCTGGCTCACTCCTGGCTGCTCCTATTTGAATAGGAGCTTAGAAATTGTGACGGTACAAAGCAGAGACTGGTGGGGCTTGGTGCCACGGGGTCCCAGGCACCTCCTAACATTCATGCTACTCCAGAAGAGGCATAAAAGAACGTAGCAGGCGTGGCGTCCACATGTCACGTTTCAGAGCAAAGTACCATAGAGGGAGTGAGCGGCACCCCTCGTGGACGCGGGGAGTGGCGTTACTGCCCACAGAGCTACTTTTTATTGACTGAGACCAGTACAGTATGACTGGGAGGACAGAGGAGAATGTCCTTGGATTTGGGTGTCATGGTTTCCAGGGGTCTGCTGTGTTCTAGAAGGTAATCAGCCTGGTTTGTATCTTGATTTCCTTCTGCAAACAGAAATGTCTGTCTTCTCCTGCTGTAACTACGGAATCAGTTGTACAATAATTTGTCTGTCTTCTCCGGCTGTAACTACGGAATCAGTTGTACAGTAACATATACACTATGCGGTCAGCATGGCGGCTGTCTTCCCTTCGCCTGGGTAGTATTTTGCTATGTTCCAAGGGCCCCATGAAAGACCTCCCCCAGAGAACGTGGCTTAGCCAAGGTTCTAAAAAGCCAGAACGAGGCAGTCCAAGTGGTTCTGGTACACTTGTATTTTTCCTATTAGAATAATCATCTGATTTTATTGTGTACTGTCAGTAGAGTTTATAGAAACCAAGCTTAAAAATAAATCTAATTAGAACTGACTGCCGTCGTGCACACGGCGTTTATCAACAGACAATGACATTTCAGCATAGGCTTTTCATTGAGTTTGGCTGAGAAACCCCAGAGCTACATGTTATTTGCTGCATACTGAGATGCATTTTGTGACTGTGAACAGAAAATGCCTTCCAGAGTTCAATTCAGCCTGGGAACAGGCAGCAATTACATTATGAAAAGCATCTGACACAGAATATGCTTCTCTTGGCTTCTCCCAATGCCATATCATTCATCTCCTGATGCAACGAGCTCTCTTTGGAACTGAACTGAATAATTTCTGTGTCTGTGACAAGTTAGTGGGTGACAATTACCCAACAGAAATGACCAAGGACACAGCTGCTATTGCTGTCCAGGGTGAGACTGGATACTGCACCTTGCAAACATCAGATTCGACTCACCATGTTCTCGACCGTGGAGGGCAGAGGACCTGCCCTGTGAGCTTACGGGCTCTCGGTGTGGTGTCAGGGAACAATATTCCCAGCAGACAGGTGCGGGGTTGGGGCACCTCTGGGAGGAAATTCCAATGCCTCCTTGGATTTTTCGGGATTCACAAAATGTTTGCTGAGAATACACTTCTGCAGGCAAGTCCCACAAAGGGACTTGTGGGACTTGTATGATGGGGCCAAGTTCCAGCTGCCTCCCTCGGGAGCTATGAGTCCTTAGGCAAGATGCTTAACTGGCCTTCCTGGTCTGCACACAGGGGCCCTGCTGCCTGCATGCTGCAGACACTTAGAGGGCCGTCTTCTCACATCGAACGGTCCTTACTGACGCTTCAGGTAAACTCTGTCCTGCCCCTCAGCCCTGCTGTCCGCATGGCTGTCAACAGCTAGGGCTGCAGATGTTCTGAGTCCCCACACGAAGGTTTTCTGGTTGTCAAGCCTAAGTTGTTGTTGGAGGGAGCCAAGGACAAATGCACAGAGATAGACAGGCAAGGAGACCCTCAGACAGGGGATCACAGGGTCCCCCAAGTGTGGCAGAGAAATGGAAACAAAGAGATGGGGGGAAACAGCTAGACAGAGGACGGGGGAATATAAACCACAAGCAACTGGAGCCGAATTCCAAACCGCCAGGTCCTGGGTTAAAGTTGTAAAACTGGAGGTGACCAGGAGCAGGGCAGCATCATTTTACCTCTGGGGGGTGGGGGGGCGGGATCAGTCTCAACACGCAGGTGGGCATCTCTGACTTAGGGCCAGAGGGCAGGGGCACCGTGTTCCAGCCCAGGAAGGCATCTGAGCTCAGGGCGCAAACTGGCTGCAGCCCGTGGGACTCACAGCATTTCTTTGGTGCCTCCTACACAAACCTGTTCCACCTGTCAGCCAGTAAACAGGGTCAGTGTGGCCCCTTGGTGACGACATGTCTACATGCCTTCTTGCTGCTTCTGAAAGATCTGATGTTCCCTGTGTAGACCCCCGGCTGTGACGTCTGAAATCATTCCACCTCCACCTGCCTGGTGCACATGCCACACTGCATGGAGGGATCCTAAAGTCAGAGGTGACGACCAGGAGGCCATGGGGGGCAGACGTCCGCCCACCTGCTGATGAGTAAGGGCTGCAGCCCTGGACCCTGAGCTGGACGAGGCACAGGACGCAGCATGTGAAGGTGAGACTGAAACAGAGATGAGGACCACAGGGCAGGCAGCCTCTCCAAGAAGACAACAGTTTCCAGCCTCTTAATCACTATCAAAGCAACCAGTGGCACTGGGGTCCAGCTCTTAAGCAGCAGTGATGACTCCTCTGACCCTGGAGCACAGAGTTGGGCACTTATTTCTGCCATGCACCTGTCTCAGTGAGGGCTGGCTGGAATGAAGCACATCCCCCGACCCCCCCCCCCCGGAGAGGAGCACCCCTCCTCTCCGCAGGGGGCTCTCAGCTCTTTGAGGAGGAGACCCCAGCTCCTGCCCCCCAGGAGGCCTCCAGCTTCCAGCACATCCATGGCAGAGACCCTGAAGGAATGAGTGAATGAATGAATGAATGAGTGATGTTTCCTTTGCTAATGAGCACTGTGGGGTCTGCACTTGCAGGGGCCCAGGAGCTAGAGACGCCCCAGGAGGACAGGACGGAGATCAGAGGGGGAGCACCGGCCCGCTCTCTGCAGCCTGGCGGCAACCTAACACCCTACCCAGACTCCAGCATCTCAGACCAGAACTCCCGTCTCACCGTCAGGCCTGTGGCCACTTTTTACAAAGTAAAAACTAATTATATAACCTGTTCTCTTCTTCTCCCAGGAAGGCTTAATTGGTTGTGTCTAAGCCTTCCTTGACCAGGCTGTGGAAGTGTGTAACAAAACGACTCTCTCTATATACAGGACGGACAGATACACAGACTGATAGAACAGATAAGAGATGATGGACAATGGTGGAGACAGATGGTAGATGAGGGATGGGTGGACAGACAAAGAGGGAGATACGGATAGATGATAGGCTGATAAAGACAGATAAACGGATGACGGATAATGATTATGATGAAGGTATAGACAGAATTAGGCAGATAATTGATAGAAAGATGACAGATGATGATTATGAAAAGGTAAGACAGGTATGGACAGACACATATCCACAGACAGAATGGACAGCTGATGAAGATGGTGGAGATGCAGACACATGGTGGGCGTGTCAGGAGGATGGTGTGGGCAGACACGTGGCCATGTGGTTTGTGTTCTTCCTGTTGGAACAAGACTCCTGCCTGGGCAGAGCAGAGGCTTGGTCCGGCTTGGACACTGCATCCCACGCGGCCTTTGGGTCCCAGATGAGGCCCTGGCCTCAGCAGCATCTCAGCTCACTGGACGGGGGCTGTGCCTCAAGGAAGGAACGCGCCCAGGGAAGTGTGTCACCTGGAGTCACCCGAAAGTGCCTCGAGTGTCCAGGCTCCTACAGCCTTCTCCTAAGCCTTTTTCTGAGCACTAGAAAGAGGAACAAAGGAAGCAGGAAGTCTGTTCTGTTTCCACCATTAGTGAAAAGGGCATGACTCATCAACTTCCCCTCTGTGAACGCTCCTCTCTTCCGCTCCTGAATTCCTGCTGCCAAAAGCAGGGCACACAGCAGGGCCAAGCCCACGGCTGGCAGCACCATCAGAGAGCATCTACCGGGCACATGACATGGGCCAGGCCTGCAGCTGGCAGTGCCATCAGAGAGCATCTATCGGGCACACGACATGGGCCAGGCCTGCAGCTGGCAGTGC